TCGCGCGCGCGCCCTCTGTCTCTGTCTCTCTCTCGCGCGCGCGCCCTCTGTCTCTGTCTCTCTCTCGCGCGCGCGCCCTCTGTCTCTGTCCCTCGCGCGCGCGCTCGCCCTCTGTCTCTGTCTCTCTCTCTCTCTCGCGCGCGCACGCGTGCCCTCTGTCTCTCGCACCCGTGCGCTCTCTGTCTCTCCCTCGCGCGCATGCGCTACTCTACCTTGCATGTACTTTCTGTCTCTCTTTGGGTGTCCAACATAACACTTACGTACAAACACCATATCATGTTTGACTTTCTCACAAGGCATATGAGCTTAAGGTACACTTTGCCAATTGTGCAGGGGCATTGTGGTGAGGCCACACATGGAATACTTGGGTCAGTTTTGACCTCCGTATCGAAAGGAGTGCATGGCAGATGCTTGCTGCAGGTTGGTTCTTAAGGGCGCAAGATGGGGTCAATGCTAAGCTTCTCCACCCCTGGGGTGGGGGTTGCTGGATTTGGCGGTGGTGTAGTTGGAACCAGAGGCCGGAGTTCACAACACACAAGGATGTACGGTCTCAGAGCAATGGCTCGGCCATAGAAATGAGGAGAGAATTCTTTTCCCTGAGGATAGTGAATCTAGCCCAGAGAAGGCTGGGTTCGTTGAGTGCATTGAGATGGCTGCAATTCCAGGTACAGAGAGAATCAGCACGGTGGCTCAGTGGTCAGCACTGCTGCCTCACAGCAACAGCGACCGTGGTTCAATTCCGGCCTTGGATGACGATCTGTGTGAAGTTTGCACATTCACCCCGTGTCTGCAGGGGTTTCCTTTGGGTGCTCCAGTTTCCACATAACAAAGATGTGCAGGTTAGGGTGGATTGGCCATGCTAAATTGCCCCATGAGGTCTAGGGATGTGCAGGTTAGGGTGGATTGGCCTTGGGAAATGCTGGGTTACAGGGATAGGATAGGGTCTGGGCGGGATGCTCTTCGAATGGACCCGACGGGCCAAATGGTCTTCCATCTGTAGAGTTTCTATAAAATTGAGGATTTGTGCAGGGAAGAGTTGGAAGCGGTCACAGTCTGAACTGGATGGTGGAACAGATCTGGAGGGGACTGAATGGCCACCTCCTATTATTTTGTTGCTTCAACAGCACCTCTCTCTTTTTAGTTTTAACTCCTTCCTGTCGAGGAGCTGGTGCAGCTGGCCTGGGAAACTGAAGTGTGGCCCAGTAATTGAGGAACCAATGGCCAGAACGGGTTTTAAAAGCCTGTGGGTTTCCCACAGTTACAGGGAAAGGTGGGAGTGGAAGGGGAATGTGAAGGTGTGAACCGTCAGGCAAAAAAATGGACAAATACCTGTATCTCTCCTCTTCTAAGGACTCTTTAAAAACCGAGTAATGCTGATTGTACTGCTCTGCTATGTTCTTAAAGTTCAGCTCCAAATTCAGTTGCGTTTCTTTGATGTCGGTCAACTCCTCCAGTATGGACAGGTAGCCAATATTTTGCCTATCGAAGGAATTGATCCCGTTTGCTTTAATGTCATAGTTCAGCACTGCCAGGTCTTGCAGCTCCTCGGAGTAGCTGGTAGTGATGGAGTAGTCTTCGTCAGGCATTGTGAGTTGCTGTGAGGTGTGGAGATTTTGGTAGGGAGGGCTAAATGTGTCCAGTGGGGTCTCCTTGGAGGCACCTTGCATCTCCGACAATGTCCGCGGTAGGAGGGTTGTCTTGGATGTACTGCCTTCACTGTGGAACGGGGATTCTGCTTGGTTCTCCTCTGGCAGATATTCGTCCCTTGCCCCCTGGATCGCAAACAGGGAGGGGTTCCTCTCCCGCAGGAGGCCCATCTCCCGCTCCAGCTGCTGCTGTTTCCTGACGTAGTGCTCCAGCTTCCTCTGGAGCTGCAGGATGACCGAGGAGAGGTAGTGGTTCTTCTTCTCGAAGGCCTGCTTGAAACGGAAGGCCTGGGCACTGTCGGCGCGAGCGATGAGCCGCAGGTACTCGGAGATGTTGGCGTTGCGGTGGGTCTGCTGCACCCGGATCTGCTCGGTGAGCTTCAGAATCCTCTGCTGGAGGAGGCCATGCTCAGTTTTCAGCTCCTCCAGTATGACCTCTGCCTCCTCATGGGAATCCTGCTTGGGGTTCTCCAACAAACTGAAGGCCAGTGGGCTGGGCGACGGTACCACGCTGGTGACCTCTGATGCGTCAGCCTGAAAGGCAAAGATCCGAGAGAGAGAGAGAGAGAAAAACTCCCCTCCATTAATTCCAGCTCAAGACCAACACAGCAATCCACACTCTCATTGGTTTAATCAAGGCCTCTTCAAAGCAGGCTCCCAGCCTCTATTGAGATGTCGCATTGGTGGGAGGAAGGCTGACTGCGTTTCAGCAGTGGTTTCAGGAAGAACATTCCTATGGAAAACTGCAGAAGTCTGAAATTCTGGCCCTCAAATTAAAAGTTGCAATACAGCCAGTCTTTAAATGGCATCATGCAGCACAAGCTTAAGGGCTGAATGGCCTCAAATAAAAGCAAAATGCTGGAAATCTGAAGGAAATACAGAAACTGCTGGAGAAACTCTGCAGCATCCGTGGAGGGCGAAACATTTCAAGTCTTTCAGAACTGAAGATTCCTGAGCAGTTCCAAAGACAGATCATATTGGACTCAAAACACTGATGCAGTTTCACTTTCCACAGATACAGCCAGACCTGCTCAGTTTCTCCAGCACTTTTTTTTTAAAATTTGGGCTAAATAGCCTCCTGTTTGGTGGCTTGATGGTTAGCACTGCTCCCTCACAGTGCCAGGGGCCCAAGTTCAATTCCAGCCTCTGATGACTGTCTGGGTGGAGTTTGCACATTTTCCCAGTGTCTGCTGTAGGTGCTCCGGATTCCTCCCCCAGACGAAAAGAGTGCAGGTAAGGGTGGATTAGCCATGCTAAATTACCCCATATTGTCCAGGGATATGCAGGCTGGGTGGATTGGCCATGGGAAATGTAGAGTTATAGGGAATAGGAGAGCAAGTCTGGGTGGGTTGCTCTTCGGAGAGTTGGTGTGGACCTGTTGCGCCAGCCAAACAGCCTGCTTCCATACTATAGGGATTCCATGATTCGAAAAGAAAAGCTTTGTTGTCTCACGGGATGTGTTGCCCATCCCTACTCGCCCTTTGAACTGAGCGTCTCTCTGAAGCCACTTCAGAAGGCAATTAAGAGTCGGGCCCTTCGCTGTAGGGTCTGGAGTCACACGTAAGCCCATACCAGGTAAGACTGGCAGATTTGCCTCCCCCTCCCCCAACCCAGGCCATGAGTGAACCAGATGGGATTTTACCTAATTGCAGCTAGTTTCATGGTCACCAACACTGAGACTAGCTTTGCATTCTAGAGTTGAGCTTTGTTTTTCCACCTGCTGTACAGCCAAGAGAATACGCAGGCCTCGCCTACTTCCCGTAAATTTCCAAATCTTTAACCAGTTTCTGCAAAAGCCGTAACTTTTTATTCTACTTGGTTTTTTTTTATTGTGGACTGAAGTTTAAAAACCGAGGACTGTGGAAAGAATTGCTGCACTTTTTAACAGCAGATTACCCGATTGTAAGTGCTGTTTACACAGCTGCTCGTTCGAGCAGTGGGGGAGGTCACGACAGACATGCTGATCCCGGGGTGTGTACGAAGGGAGATTCCTCCCGGCAACAAGCAGCTGATTGGTCTATGGAATAGTGATCACCGGTTGATGACAAAGGTCTCTTGCCTGCCAACAGCGATGTGATTGGCTGCCAGGTAGCTGGATATCTTATGGGGATGAATGTTTGGTTAGCAGTTGTCAGACCGTTGAAAGGGAAGGAGCTGTTCTTTTGTCTGTATTAGAAACACCTCTCAAGCCTGGAAAAAGCTAGTCTATCTCTTCCCATCAGTTCTGTAAGTTGTGGCTCTTAGTCAGTAGGTCAAACACTTAGAGTGTGAATCAGCCACCGTGTCCCTCCTGCAAGCAAAAGTACCTGGAGAAGGAAGAGGAACGACCACAAGCCAAAAGGATCATCTCAGCGAAACCCTGTGGACAGAGACCATTGAACTGGCTTCCTTGTCTTCCCCTCCAACCAGAACACCAATTTTTGTCTCTATCTGTGTATGTCAGAGTGTTTATAAGGTGGTTAGAGATGGAGTTACATGTCAACTGTTTCTTTCTGGCAAGAATCTATTCAGTTGTAATAAATCATGATTTTTGTTCAGTACAGAGATTTAGTCTGCGCTTTCTGTTAATGGTTTTGTCGAAAAGATTGGAAAATTGGAGAGTTTTGCGTTCTTTATAAAATCTTTTTTTAACTTCGGTGCTGAGTCTGGGAATAATGGGGTTTGGTTTCGGCTGTGTTAATTGTGTGGGGAATAATGCTTCCTCCCTCCTCCGGCGCACAGCGGCAGCACTGTGTACCGTCTACAAGACGCACTGCAGTGACTTTTCCGAGGCTCCTCCCACAGCACTTTCCAAACCCGCCACACCGTCTCACCACCCCCCCCCCCCCCCACCCCGGCAGGATGAGAGACAGCAGCAGGCATGCTGGGGTAACCACCCCGTCAGCCCTTGAAAGAAAGACTCGCACTCTCTCTCTCGCACTCTCTCTCTCACACTCACTGACTCACACTCACACTCACACACTCTCACACTCACTGTCACACTCACATTCACATGCGCACACACTCTCTTTCACGCTCACACGTGCATGCACTCTCGCGCACTCTCACTCACACGCGCACGTGCTCTCTCTCTCTCGCTCACACTCCTGGATCATAGAGGCTGTCCCTTCAGTGGTGCTGGGTCAAAGTCCTGGAACAGCCCCTATCAGAATGGGCACCGCCAGTGTTGCTACAGATCGCAGCAGGTCACCATCACCCTCTGAAGGGGCCACTAGGGACTGGTGATAACTGACTGTCCAGCAAGCCTCACCCATATCCTGTTAGTGAACGGTTGTTGCATTCTCAGAGGAATTTGAAGACTGTGTATTGTTTTGTTAATTTTCTAAGTTTTGGACTGAGCTGGAGGGAGGAGGCCTGTCGCAGGTCATAGTGAGTTCAGTCACATTTGGCTGCAGGAGGGCTGGGAGCGTTCTTGGTTTTGACATCAACCATCGAAACCACGCTCACATCCGGCACCAGCCGTAAACAGGAACAGCTTCTGCCGAGTATTGTTGATTGTTTCATTAATAACACCCACCCTGCTGCAAAGCCTTGATCAAGAAAGTGCATTCCTCCAGCACCTTTCTGTCCAACTTCCACCACCCACTCCCAAAAAACTGAATTGCAGTCACAGACGGGAGCTAGCACGCTAACCAATTTGTACATAGAAAGTTCCTGTCTCCCTATCCCTCAGTCAGACCCACACTTGGATCGCCGCATGCAGTTCCTGTCTCTGTATCCCTTGGTCAGACCCTCACTCGGAGCACCGCGCATGGTTCCCGTCTCCCTATCCCTCAGTCAGACCCACACTCAGAGCACCGCGCACAGTTCCCGTCTCCCTATCCCTCGGTCATGCCCCCACTCGGAGCACCGCGCACGGTTCCCGTCTCCCTGACTCTCGGTCAGACCCATACTCGGAGTGCGGTTCCTGTCTCCCTATCCCTCGGTCAAGCCCACACTCGGAGCACCGTGCACAGTTCCCGTCTCCGTATCCCTCGGTCAGAGGCACATTCCGAGCACTGTGTGCTCTGCCATGTTAAGAGATAGCGAGGCACAGGTGAAGGTGTGACCAGATTCTGAAAGCGACACTGGGCCGATCTTAACTCTCGAGGCCCAAGGCTTCATGCTTTTGTAAAGGGATGGCGGGGGTGGGGCGCGGATCCGAGGGCCCTGAAGCTAGCTCTTGAACATGCCGGAGAAATGAATGAAGCCCCCTTACCTCGAGGCTGCAGCGCCTCTTTATCAGGCTGAACTGATGCACCATCGTCCCTAACTGTGCTGGAGCAGCCAGCTACCCCTACACCGCCCCACTGTCAAACTCCACCAACAGTCAGATCCTTTCAGCCGGTGGCACGGGGGGGCAGGACAGGCCGAGAGGGCTCCGTCCCGAGCAGTGTCCCTTTTGCCGATGGATGCTGTGGGAGGGGGAGGCCAGGCAAGCAGCTGTGCTTGAAAACAGAGCTGAATCACTTCCTCTGCTGGTCGTGGGAGGGGAGGCGGTGTTGGTGGGGCTGGGTTGCCTGTGTCTGTGGTTTGAACACACTCTGCGCTGCGCTCATCCCAGCCCCTTCGCCAAACCAGTGCAGCGGCTTTCACAAAGCATTCGAAAAGTTGCAGCTGACAAGCGACAGCGGAACGACGCAGTCGATCTCCTCCCCGAAAGGGACTTAGCTGCACACTGCCATCGCACAACAACAAGGCAGCAACTGCATTGAGGTGGCAACGTGCTGGAGCGAGAGCTAACTATTGACGGAACGCCGGGGGTGGTAGGGGAAGAGAAAGGGCACCCACAGAGCTCAGTCAGAGAGGAGCATCTGACAGGGGAAGGAGAGACGGAGAGGTCAGGGGAGGCCGGTTGATGCCTTTTTAACAATCTCGTGCGCGTGGCACTTTTACTGAAAGCAGGCCTCCGATCCGGGAGCGCACCATCTCAGGATCCCCGTCTCGGGGCCGCCGAGGAGAGAATCTGAAATGCGTTCCCTCAAAGCGATTGTGGAGGTGACAGGACAGCAATGCCTCCCCCCATTTCTCTCCAGCACGCCCCTTACCTTCTCTTTCTTTGACCCTCTGATCTTTGAGAGCTTGTTGTAAATGGAGAACCGGCGGCTTTCTCCAATCCGGGCCTTCGGCTTGGCTTTCACCTCCTCCGTGCTGCCGTTAGACTCGGGGTCGATGCCCAGGAACCTCTCGGTCATGGTGTCCGTGTTGAACTTGATGGGTGGGGGCAGGTTCCTCTGGTGGGGCTTGGTGCTGTTCAGAAACTCGAGGGGCTTGAACATCTGCAGGCCGTGATGCTGCGGCAGCCAAGAGTTCTCCTCTTCCTCCTCGTCTTTCCCCTCATCCTGAGGCTGCCCCTCTTCCTCGCGGGCTGCCTCTGCCGGCCTCTTGGCCAGAGTCAGGCTCTTCCTGCCCATCTTGGGGATGAAGTGGTGGCGGGATCTGGGCCCAGACTTGAGCCAGCGGTTGTTGGAGGCCGGGCTGTCGTTCTTCTGGTCGGAAGGCACGCTCGAGTCGACAGTGGAGGTCCTCTGGCTGTCGGCAGGCGTGACCGAGAGCTCGTCGTCCGAGGGGATCACGAAGCTGCGCAGCAGGGAGCTCCTGTCGCGCACGCTGTGGCCCGGGCCGGCCTGCGACCTCTCCTCGCTTTCGGCCAAGTGCTCATGCTGGTTGGTAAAGAACTGCCTTGTGCTCTTTCCCAGCGCCTTGTTCACCCTCAAGCCGGCGCTGTCTTGACCCTGCGACCTGGCCCCCTCGCCCGGCATGAGCGACGGCGAGCTACTGGACTCGGGGCTGGGCTCCATGGGCCTGCAGTTGTCTTCGGTAGTGGAGGAGTGGGACTCCCACTCAACCTGTAAGCACAAGACTTGGTTAGGCCATGTTCTGTCTGCTAGTAGTTATCATGAGGGGAGCATGGGGAGACATCGGTGGTCAGGATATTTCCCTCCTGCATCTCCCCCCTCTTACCCTGACTCATGTTGGGTGGGTTAGAATCTAGGACGAGAGAATGGCGCACTTTCAGAATGAGAAATCCTCCCACTGAAGACGGAGATGAGAAGGAACGTCTTAGAGTCATAGAAAGATGTGCAGCACGGAAACAGACCCTTCAGTCCAATTCATCCACACCCACCAGGTATCCTAAATTAATCCAGTCCCATTTGCCAGCATTTAGCCCATATCCCTCTAAACCCTTCCTATCCATGTACCCATCCAGATGCCTTTTAAATGTTGTAATTGTACCAGCCTCCACCACTTTCTCTGGCAGCTCATTCCATACACGCACCACCCTCTGCGTGAAAAAGTTACCTCTCAGGTCCCTTTTAAATCTTTCCCCTCTCACCTTCAACCTATGCCCCTCTAGTTTTGGACTCCCCTACCCTGGAGGAAAAGACCTTGCCTATTCACCCTATCCATGCCCCTCGTGGTTTTATAAACCTCCATAAGGTCACCCCTCAGCCTCTGACACTCCAAGGAAAATATCCCCAGTCTATTCAGCCTCTCCCTATAGCTCAAACTCCAACATCCCTGTAAATCTTTTTCTGCATCCTTTCTAGTTTCACAACATCCTTCCTATCGCTGGGAGACCAGAATTGAACGCAGTATTCCAAAAGTGGCCTCACCAATACAGCCGCAACATGACCCTCCCAAGTCCTACACTTAATGCACTGACCAATGAAGGCAAGCGTCCCAAACACGTTCTTCACCGCCCTGTCTACCTGCAACTCCACATCTCTCGGAGAGTGGGGAGACTGTAGGATTCTTTTGCCCCACACAGAGAGCAGAGGGCACTGGCCCAGTGAACATTCATGGCTGGGTCAAGAGATTTTTGATGAAGGATGGAGCCAGGGAGTGGTGGGGGAGAAGAGAGTGTACAGGACCAACAGAGTTCAGCCACAATCATCAGCTGCGATTCTATGGGCTAGCAGAGCAGACTTGAGTGGCAGAATGGTATCCTCCTGCTCCCTTGGGGGCAAGAGGGGTTGCTGAATGACAGTGTGATGGAACTGGTTTAACATCAGAAGAGATGCAGTCAGTAACACAGGGCGCTGGGGGGGAGAGGGGTTACTGAGTGACAGTGTGAGGGAGAGGGATTAACATCAGTAGGGATACAGTCAGTA